AGAAGGGATAATACTGGAAGAGATCTCTTAAGGAAGCCTATGCTTGAGTGTGTGTTGAGCATGTTTGGTTTGTTTTTCATGCTTATATATCCATAATATAACATGATTTCAAGTTGGTTTTGGAACTCCATGCATGCTTAGCATAGTTGCCATGTAATGCCTTGTTTATGCCTTAATGTGCCTTAGGTTGTTAGCCTTTGTTGGAGCATGTTTTAGGCTTAGTCTTGTGAAGATTTTGTGTATGTTTTGCCATGTTTTAGCTCTGTCCATAGTCGTTTGGGTTGATCTTTGCATGCTTGATATAGCTCCTTTGTATTTGGGCTTGTTAGCCTTGAGTATGTGCATGTGTAGCATGGCATCTTTGCATTGATTTGGTGATTTGGGGTCACTTTATATGTTATTTCAGTCCCATTTCCATGCTTGTTTGATTGCCTTGCATGCATCTTTAATGCTTTGGAAGCTTGTGTAGCATTGCTCCATGCTTTGGTGCCTTTGCATGCCTTTGTTTTTTGAGCCATCTAGATGCCATCTAAGTGGTCTTTTGGGCCTTATGTTATGTGCTAAAAACCTGTTTTAGGTTGCTTAATGCATGCCATGTTTGTTGTGATAACACATGCTTCAAAGCTTCATGATTTGCCTCAAGTATTTAGACCATGTTTGGTGCATGCTTGGCTTGATTTGTTGCTTGGTTTGGCACCATGTATTGGCATGATTTCAAAGCTTATAATGCATGCTAATTGTTCATGTTTGTCCTCTTTCAAGTGTGCTTGAATGTTGCTTGATTTGTGCTTAAGTGTTGGTCCTTATGTGCATGTGTGTGTGTATGCCATTTAGCCCTCACTTTTTAGCACTTTGGCCCTTGTTTTAGGCCCTATTAGAGCTGCCTAATTCATGTATAAGACCATCTCAGCATTAGTTTGCATTGACATATGTATGCTTGTATGCTTGCATGAGTGCCTTGCCATGCCATGTTGCATCCTTAGCTTGTATGCCTAGGTTGCATTGCATCTTGCATGCATGCCTTGTTCCTTGACTTGGGTGATAGGGATTGGGAGTTTTGTTTGATTGGTTTGCATACATTTGAAATCAAAGTTGCATACTCGGTTCCTTGGGCCATCATGCATGGAAATGCGTGATTGGTGGCCCGGGAACCGAGGCACATGTCCCTTTGAGTCGTCGCGCGCCTTGCCTCCATGGTTAGTGCATACATGCCTTGAAATGTGTTGCCATGCTTTGTTTTGCCCTCTGTTGCTGTGAGTTGCAGGTCCAGCAGACTTTCTTTGCCGACCGGCAGTGTAAGGTGCCGGCCGGCAATC